TCTATCTTCAAAACTCGTATCATATAATAAATCTATATCATCTAATTTGTTTGATTTTATTTATTATATTTTATTTGTTCAATTTTTTGTCTTGCAAATATTTTTTCAAAATTAATTACATTACATATAAAATTCATATTAAATTGCCTTTAACGCATGTTTAGACTTGCAAAGTCAACATTTCATTTTGTTTAATAGTTTTATAAATATTTTTTTTATAATATACATAATATTTATAATATTTTAATTTATATTTAAATTTTAACATTTCATGATTGAGGCGACAACTTTTGTTTTTCTTACTATCTTACAATAATAGTAATTATTATTATCGTTTATATGAATTTACTAACTTTACTATGTTTATTTTATATTGTATAAATTTTATTTGCATTCAGACTTTCAGTGCCAACATTTGATTTTAGTAACTTTTTCAATTTTTTTTATATTGATATAATATTTTCATAAATCAGATAGGAGTGTCTGAGAGATTATGAAATAATTTTCATAAAATTTTTTTCCAATTTTTTTACAATGTTAAAAAATTATCACCTCTAATATCAATTAGTTTTTAATTATGCTATATGAATTACATTACACTTATTGGTTTAATAATTTTTACTTTTAATATTTTACCAATGTTAAAACTATCATTTACAATATCAATTTAATATCGATTTTATTTATTTTATATTAAAAGTAAAAAAAATCCTGTAAAAACACGTGTATCGTCAACAATAGTTCTAATAGTAGTTTTACTTTTACAAACTTTTTTTTATTAATTTGAACATTTAAATAAATATTAAATAAATTTCAATGTCATGGGTAAACATTAAAGCTTTCGATTTGCAACTTTTGATTTTCTTTTAATCATTTTAAATAACCATTTTATTGCATTTGAATTTATTTAGTAATTTTTCTTTACAAATATTTCTACCAAGTTTATTTACAAATTTAATGTCGATTTTATTTATTTTATTTTAAATAAATTTTGTTGGAATTAATGCGTGCTTAAATTTACAAATTAAATTTAGTAATAATTTTGCTTGTGTAAATGTTCTTCCAATATCAATTTAATATAATTGACATATGAAATATATTATATTGTAATTCATAAATTAATTGCATCAAGTACAAATATTATAGTTTAATTATTACAAATATTATATATAAATAATTGTTTGAATTCCGATGATGTTTATATTTGAAATATAACCTTTTATTTTTCAAACTTTTTCAAGCTTCTCATTTCTTTCACAGCCTAACTCCCACAAATATAATTTCGAATGGTATATTTTTTAATTTATAATTTATTAAATATACGTTTTCTAATTTGCACACTATGTGTGATCTATTATCCATTGAATGTAATTAATTAAATTAGTGTAATATATAATGTATGGTGTTGCAGAAACATTTGAATCTGAGCTTTTTCATATTTAGCTCGAACCATTTGCAACATTTTACACAATTTACACAATTTTCATATTATCTCCATCTTATCACCCAAAAATGCATCCATATATTTATCTTCTATCCCAAATCTATTTATTATGTTTACAAATAATTATTGATAGTTGTATTATCATTCGAATGACTCATCCCGTATATAGGCGGTACTTACATTGCGTTTATATTGTAGTACGGCCTTATATTCGGGCTGAGTTTTTTGAAAATTCGACGACATTTGGATTTTGATTTTGATTTAAATTTGAGTGTTTGGTTTTTGTCGATACAATATATGGCTTATCCCAGAAAATACTTGTTGCTTACATGATGTTGAAAATTGTAGTACGGGTAGTTTCTGGGCTAAGCAAATTGTGGCAAAGACGACACGAGAATAAAGAAGATTTTAGATAGTAAGGGATTGCCTTTATATTTTTTTCTTTATTTTTAAATTGTATTTTTGAGACTGGATAAATGCAAATTTCCTATTATTCATTTAGTTATTTATTTATAATACATCTTTCTACTTTCTGCTTTTATCATTGTTGTCTCCAAAATATAGTCTTTCCAAAATATAGTCTTTTCCAAATATTTTCACTCTTACAACTTCCACATTTTGCATTTAGATACAAGTTTTTAGCGTGTAAAATGCAGGCACATATATTTCACTTCAAAATGAATTTTCAATTTCACTTCAATAAATTTTAGTGGCAATTTTAGAAGAAAACGTTTTCTATTTTATTTATACATGATATCAAAGGGTTTAGAATATTTTATGTTCCATCAATTCATAACTGTATGTACTGCAAATATATAAATGGTATTTTATATAACATTTATATAAGCAAATATTAGAATAACTTTTTTTTAATCGCAATTAATATCTTGTTTTTCTTAGCACTAAACCTACCAGAGAGGTCAAATGACCGCTTCTGAAACTTTAGTCGAAATTAATAAATTCCCGGTTTTTATATTTCTTCAACTTAAGGCATGACTTTTCTATAATATAAGACAATTTAATTTTCCTGTAACTATTATTCATTATGTTTCATATCTATAAAAAAACATAAGTACTATACCTATTCCTGCCAGTGGTGGTCAAATGACCGCTTTTCAAATTTTTATTGCTAGTTGATTATTAAAAAAGGTTTATTGTTTTTGGCATAAGCAACCGAATGATATTTGAAATCTGAGAAACGATTTTGATAAGATCCACACAGATGGCTTAAATATATATGTTTTGAATATCAATATTAACACTAAACCTACCAACATTTTATGTTGTATCTATCCCTACCGGTGGCGGTCAAATGACCGCTTTTCAAATTTTCATTGCTAGTTGTTGATTAGAAAAGGTTTATTTTTCATTTATAAAAAATTAAACATTAACTTGAAATTACACAATATTTTCACAAAATACTGATTTGAAAAAATCACAAATGGATAGTGTGTTATTCGTAGACTGGTTGAAGATGTAATGGAGAAAGACATTTTTTAAAAAATATTTTTACCAAGATTTTCAAATCAGTATTTTGTGAAAATATTGTGTAATTTCAAGTTAATGTTTATAATATATAGTGTAGTGCATTACCATATCCTAATACCATGGATTATTAAAATTTTCCAATTTAACACTAAGATCTACTAATTGTAAGTACTAATTACTATTTTATTTTTTCTTTTCACTCCAATTCAATTCTTTTAGTTTTTAATTTTATTTTTAGTTTCCACTGAATGAAGGCTAGGATTATAGCCGAAACGTATGGATTTAAAATAAATTTTTGAAAGAAATTCATGTTTTTTATTGATGTTATGCCCGATTATTAGACTTTGTTAATATATATATATATATATATATATATATATATATATATAAGTCACCTGTGTGGATCTTATCAAAATCGTTTCTCAGATTTCAAATATCATTCGGTTGCTTATGCCAAAAATGTGAATACAATTCTGTTTGTAAATTTGTGTTCATTGGTATAGATTTTATAACATATTAAATTTCCGTGGGTTAAGGTACAGTAATCGCAAAGTATCGACAATGGAATTTTGATATATCTTTACGTTTCATATATTGCTGAACATTTTGGCTTACTATTGAAAAAATGATTCAAAAAACACTTTATTACATTACATTAAAATGCCATCTGGCGGGCAAAAATGATCTCAGAAATCATGAGATGTTAATAACTATAAATTTTGTTCATATTGCTATGGGTTATGTACCAATGTTTATCCACTGGTACGCAACGCGGCGCTTACGCGCTTCAGGAAAGTTCAAGTTATGAAAGTGTATTTCAATTTTTTTTAAAGAGACAAATATTTTAAATCTATTTTTTCAGTTTATCAAAATTTTTAAATTTATGATGCGGTTAGTTTCAGTAATTTGGCTTAAGACACGATGCCATGCGACACTAGTTATATTTGTTAAAACTTTTAACTTTAAGTTGCATAATTCATAAAATGAATTCTACTCCCATGTTTGTAAATAAGAATTGTAAATAATGCAGAAATAATTTGCCTTTTCTTTTATTGTTTTTTTTTTAAATCATAAGAAAAATTAAAGTTAGTAATTTTCCCACTTATTTCATTTTTTTTTTCGAAATATGAAGAAAATTTGTATGTAGGTTTATTTACTTATAGGTTCACTGATTGGTTCGAGCTAAATGTGGAAAAAAACTTTACCTCAGACTCAAATGCAACACGACACATTATAATAATATTTACTTATAAGTCTGCCCGAAGGCAGGTCCATGGTGTTGGTCACCACAAATCAACGATTTCCTTTCCCATTCCTCATTTATCGTTTCCATTATAACTATATTTTGAAAGTTCTGCTTCCATGTTTCTTGATCTTGTGCTCCGGTTTGCAGTACACTAACTCGTCAATCATTTGCATTCTTCTTTTTTTCAATACTTCTATTAGATCCTCAAGCTTTGCCTTGCACGAAGTCGTGCAAAAAGCACTTTTTGCAGAATAATTCCTGTCCAGATTCCTTTCCTTTTTTGGACCGTGCCCAGGGAAGTTCATTCTTGGCCCACTTTTCACAGGACTCACTTGTTACCTTATCTGTCCGTTTTCTTTTCCATTCGCCGCCAGCATCCATGTCTCTCATCCTTGCAGAGTTGTCTCAGGCATAACACTCTATATTCATGCACATATATTTATATTTACCTTTTCTAAAGGTTCAAAGGGTTCAATTGTCACCTTAAGTCAGATAAATGTTTAAAATATTGATTTTAACAAAGCATTGCTTCAAATTTAGAGCATTAAATTTTTAAAAACGTTTCTAAATATAGGTCCCAGTTCTTTATATGCAAACAATTTATTACTGTCGTTCCATAACTTTTATTCCACCAAGAAACTAGCTTAAATATGGTTTGAAAATAAATTTAAATGAATTGAATGTCATGTCCATATGTTAATAATGCAGGCTAAAGTATATATAATTTAAATCGCAAATTTTTCGGTTCACATTATGTATTTAAATATTGTATACATATATTAATAAGAGTAAATTTATAAAATTTAATTCTATTTGTTATAGAATCCTGAAAATGTTGAGAAAGTTGCTGTCCAAGCCAGACAATCCCGAGATGATCGTACAAACTTGGTTACATAATTTTGACTTGTAAGTATATAGCATATGAAATAAGTATATAGTACAGAAAATAAGCATTAAAAGTGAAATTTAAGTGATTCCTTGTCAATTAAATCGACATTATGACTTTGAATTGATATCTTTACATTATTTTACGCATATTTCAAAACGGTTATTATAGTTACTAAAACCCTTATTTTGGATCATATTAAGTTTTTCTATATTTAATGAAACAACAATTTCCAAGCATTTCTTAAAGGAAAAACCGCAACTTTTTTAATAAAACTTGCAAACGTTTTAAAACATCGTTTAAACCAGGGCTTCTTAAACTATGGGTCCCGACCCCAAATAGTCACATCGGAAAATTCTGGGGTCGCGAGGGATTATTAGTTTTTTTTAAATTTGAAAATTTGCTTTATTTGAATTAACTACATAAAAATCAATGTATGTATTCAAGTCAAATAAAACAAATTTTCAAATTAAAAAAAAATAATTTTTAATGTAAAATATTTATATCATTTTATAACATCACGTCTTGATATATTTATGTTCTCAACGACTTTTTAAACTATATATTTTCATATGTATATGTATATTGTTAGCAAATAAATAAATCATTTAAAAATGTTATTTTTTTTTAATATGTGTGGGATCGTCAAGAAACTCGCAATCATAAATGGGGTCGCAAACGTCAAAAGTTTAAGGAGCCCTGGTTTAAACACTTCTTTTCTGCAAAAAGAAGAATGAAGCCAAATGGTTTTGGTGTTTAAACATTGATTTTGTCGCAATAAACTCAAATGCTCACAATTATAATTTTGCCATTTGTTGTTAGAAAACCTTTCTGTCAGTCTCATCCATAAATATAAATTATATTTAATTTTTCGTCCAAAGCCAGAATCGAGAATCCTCTTATGGAATTATTTTCACCCACTATTTCTCACGGCTATTTCCCGTAAAAATCCCATTAAGTCTAGCTAGGAAAAAAAGGAAAATGTTTACTACTGCATTTAATAAGTCTTATTTGATATGTTTAATTGATCAACGTTCAAGGCCGATTAATAATGAAATTGTTTACGGATGCCAGAGGTATAGGTATATTTTCCGCCTAAATATCGTGATTTTTAATGATTATCAGAAACAACATGAGTTTTAAAAACCATCTTAATAGTAAATTGTTATCATCGGTACTTCTAATGTAGTTATCTCAGTTATATTGCAGTATATTCAAAGAAAAACTTCGAAAGTTTTGTAATACGGAACCTTTCCTTGAGTTTGTTTTCCATTTCGTTCATCAGTTTATATCACAAAATCATTTTTCTTTTTCGAAAAGAGAAATGTCTTCAACTAAAACTTGTTGAATGCCTCTTTAAAATGATTAATTAGAAAATTACAATGTATCAATTTTAGACAAAAAAGGTTGTATGTGTTTCTATAAGTTTCTATGTGTTCGGATACAAATTTTCGTCAACGATTTCGAGAGCACAGACTAACCGGTTTAAATGATTAAGAAAAAAATATTTGTACTGGCTAAATGAAGAATCGATTAATTTTTTCGAAAGGCAGGCTCAACAGTTTTGGTAATTCAAAAATAAGTTTGAAAACATCCCACTTGTTGGTCAAAAAATATCTTTAAGCATATGCACATCAAACTATCAGATAATTTGTAGAAATTTAATAAGTACAATTTTTGTTTACTTATCCGTGATCCGTACCAGGATTTATATTGTTTAATTTTAACTGTTGTGCTTCGACGCGGCGCTATCGCGCTTCGATTATTCTTTTATAAAACGGGCAAAGTCCTCTCATTTTAGTGGGACTTTGACGGAGCAGTTGTCATGCAGTTTTTAAGAGTGCAAATCATTGTGAACCCCTGATTACACGATTGAAAGTATTAACAAATAATTAGTTTCAAATGTTGCATTTGATTTTAAAATATTTCAAAAAATCTAAAACATCTAATTACATTACAATCAAAAAGCTTGTAAAATTTTTAAATTCCGGTATGGGAAGTTGTATCAATATTTCTTTGCCTTGCTTATTGCCTTTTTTTCTTGGATCCATTATATTAAACACATTTATACATTAATTTTTCTCCACAGCGATCAACAGAAGTTCAAAATGACTCCAGATCACTTGGACTATACAATAAAGCCTGAATTACCCGATAAGGTGCAACCACACTCTATAAATAACAATGGACCTCTGGACATGTCACCAGCCTCTCCTGATACCAATGATAGGTTAAGCCCAGGATCATGCGACTCTGTCCTCAATTCACCAAAAATTGAAATAAAAACTGAACAATTTGATAACTATAGCGAATATGAGGTTTCTATAGCTAATTATATGGCACAGAGGCAAGGAGACTTCAATAAAAGGATAAGAGGTAAGATTAACAGCTTGAGGTGGTGATTTATTTTACCTTTTATTTAAAATTGAGTAATACATTTAATAACTGCAAGATAGTACTAGTCCAGTCATTATAGTAAGTTCGCCTCGGAATTCGAGATACTCAGCTTCAGCTGTAAGTATGTAAATACTTGTATATTGACACCCTAAAAGTTGTCTCAAAACCTACATATGATAGAATATAATTACCATATATAGGTTTTGAGACAACTTTTAGGGAGTCAATATACAAGTATGTACAGACATACAGCTGGGTATCTCGAATTCCGAGATTCTTACCTAATTTAAGCTTATTTAAGACTATACATAATAATGAGTTCATAAAATTATTGTTTGTGCTCTTGTTGATGCAAGTATTGCTCTATGTTAGCCAGTATCCTGAATTTTTCTCTGCACCTCAAATCGCTATATGATCACTATTTCCATTTAATATTGTACCTATAGCCAATTTGGTATTCATCCAAACTTCAATTCAATTCATCTTATTAAAGTAAATTAAGTTAAATGATCCATTAACTATTTTAATATTCTTTGTTTATTCAATTATCCATTATCCTCCATTAGATCACATAGAAAGGCCACCTTCAACATTCAGCAATGACTCCGGCATCTTAACACTGGGCAATGGCAACTCGTCTCCACCAAATGCTGATCAAATCGAATTTGAACTGAATCCAAATTTCAAAGTTTTCCAACCAAAAGATGAACTTTACAAAATGAACAGATTGTCCCAAATCAAGAAACAGCAGTATGTAGAACAACAGAGAAAACTACATCCAATTGACTTCTCATACAATCCTAACAAGTCTAGAAATTTAAAGACATATTCAGATGCATCTCAAGCAGAAGAAAGAGCAAAGAACAACTTTGCCAGTAGACGTAGCAGGTAATTATTTCATATTTATCTGATATTATTCGATTCTAACTGAATTTTTAATTTATACTTTTTATTGTTTAGATATAAGAAAAAATTGGAAGCCCAAACAAAGAACTTCAGTCTCGATTTCAGCATGATGGAATGCCAACAATTATGGGAAGAAGAGAAACGATTGTCTGCTCTTATAAGATATTTAGAAAATGTATGCACCAAAGTTGGTGTCGACAAACAGACCATGATTAAAATGCGTAAAAGTTATAGTCTATAGAATTTTATGTTTGATGATCCAAGTTGTAAAATTTACAATTGGAGCTATACAGAGAATCCCACCTTTTGGGAAAGATTATAGTACAAATGGCAGATTATATAATGAATTATAAGGTTATTTATTAGTGGTTTGCAAATCAGGCGTAAAAATCAGGGTATGATGATATTGATGAGTGTATGTAAGTTGTTGCACAAGCTATATTTTATTTAACTTCGTTTCTTTTATATTTTTTGAAACGTTTTATGCTTGATATAAATTTCAAGCAACGCCAAGTGGCAATTTCAGAATCGAATGTCTTCCAAGTTTGTCTTTTTAAAATGAAATTATTTCATTAAGGCTCATGACAATGCTACTTTTTAGTAGCAGTTTAATAAATCATATATTTAATGAAAATAAAATTTAGATTAATTTAAATATAATATTTATGTAATATGTAAATTATAAACAAAACTTTACAAAATCAATTTTAATCTGTAATTTTAATGCATTTTAACCATCTACATGATGTTATGAAATCAATAAATTCAACATTATAAAATTATACTTATTGATGAAGTTCATATAGTAAAAGATGTACTTCTTTTTAAAGAATTCATGTACTCATTTTATCTAAATTATTATCTGAAAAATCTATCTAAAATGTTGTAAAATATAATACGCATAGTAAATTATATATATATAAGCTACATTGTTATTTAAAAATCCAAAGGTCAAAATTTATAAAAATATTTTAATATGTAAGTAATAAATATTTAAAATTTAAAACTATTTTTGATGTTTTATTGAATAATAGTGTATTATTTTTAAGAGAGCAAATCTAATGAACTAAATCAACATTCTTGGCAGAAATACTTTATCAATATGGCGCTATTTTATAAGGGGTTTTATTATTGAATACTTAGGTTTTTTGTTAAAAATTTATCAGTTTTTAGAGTCGTACTATTAGCGTTAAAGAGTTTTTAGTCCAATTAGATCTTTCTAGTATATGTAAACTGTATGTCCTGTAGAGCTCGTTAAAGTAATAACACAACTTATTCATAAATATTATATGTTGAACTATTGTTAATATTTTAATATTATTGCAGTTTTTTATTGTACTTTTATTGAAGTCTTATCAATTTTAGTATTTGTGGGCTTAGTCGAAGACTAACAATTGTAGAGTTTTCATTTACAAATGGTACGTCGAGCTCTATTAAATACATACAAACAATTTTACTCAGTTTCAATTGGATTATTGTTAATATATTAATGTTTGATATTAACAACACATTTTTCAAATACAGATATATTTTATTTGTCCGGTGGTAATAATACAAAACGTTTTTTTTTTTCAAATATTTTTTTGATATTAATATCTATTTTTATAATTATTATAATTTCTTTTAACCTACACGAAATATACAATGAGAGAAACGATTCATGAGGAACACATTTCCTTTTATTTTGTTGAATTTAAAGATAATTGCAAATCAAATGAAAAATAGATGCATATTATTGGAAAAGTTTTTAAATAAATATATAATAGAAAGATTCTCTAATAACATGAACCAGCACTTGTATAAAGTATTTATTGTTATAAGTAACTATAATAAATAATTATTCTGGCTAAGTTTTTATAGTAAAACAAAGTAAGGTCCAATAATCAATCCAGAATGTAGAACATCTGCTGTAAACTATATTAAATTATTTGTAACATATCCCAATTTGATTTGCAATTATTTCTAAAAAATCAGTACAAGCCTCCATCGTACTTTAATTATATATATATTTATTTTTCTTTGCAATTTTTTTCACATTTATACAAGATTTAGTTAAAAATATTTTTCATTTTTATTATTTTGCTCTTTTCCCTTATAAGTATTATTATCTTTTGTCTTCCTTTTGTGCAAAGTGGGAGAAAATATTGAGAAACTTGGATTACATTATTATTGAGAACACAATTATAATATTTGATACAAAATAAAACATGATGAGATATCAACTTTATGGCCTTTATTCAATACCTTTGTTTTTGTTTTAAAATACAATTCGTTTAGTAATTAGTAAACTTTTTTATTAATTGTATCGAATAAAAGCTACTCCAAGTTCTGTTCTTCAGTATATCTCATCATCAGTTATTTAAAATTAAAACGTATTTCAAACGAAGCTTTGCAAATGCAAATTCAATGAATAGTTAAGAAGTAAAAATTGTTGGAAAAAGACAAACTGCTCTTAAAATCTATCGGTCAATACTAGGAAAAGTATCAAATGTTAAGTCACTTAATGAAATATGTTTAAGGCCAAGAACACACTACGATCAAAAAATAAGTAAATCATATTAAAGAATTTCCGAAAAAACACATTTTACTGGTTGCAACCAATCATGCAGAAATGGTTCCTTTCATGTAAATGATAAAATAAATAAAGAATGTATAATTGAGTTGCAGATGTTATATACTATACGATCAATTAATTCTTTTAGAAACATCATAATCGTAATTCGAATTTGATTATACAGTATAAAAGCAACTATAAAAATACGAATTCAAAATCAACAATAAACAATTTTTCATAACTAGAAGAAAATCGCAGTATGTAAATGGTTTGTAATATTCCACAATATATACAATGACCTTCTGCGTGGTGATAGAATGTCTAGTTTTGCAAAAAAGGTGAATTTTGGTGAAAAATTTGGCATAGAGACTATCATAATATATTATAATGTATCATAATATACTATCATATATCTCGATATTTGTTATATCATAATATATTATAATATATCTCAATATTTGTTCTATTTTGATCACAAGTTACAATTTGAACGACCATTATTATAATTAAAAAATGTAATTACTTATTGCCAGATGGATTATCGGGAATATTTTTTTTTATTTATCACCTGTTCTACAATATTTGCCAAATTAAAATATATCATACTTCATATTTTATCGTAGCATTTTAAAACTTTGAAAAATTGAGGGCAATATTTATAAATGCACAAGCACTTCAAGACTGCTTTAGTGCCTTTATATTTAACAATTTTTTCAAAAATTGCTAATCGACTTCAAAGTCAATATAAGACAAAATTAATTCTCTTGAGACAAACAAATTGAATATACTTATTTTTCAAAACTGACTTAACAAATTTATTTTATTACTTGTTTAGTAAATTTTTGTCTATATTAACCATTTAACCGTAGTTCAAAAAATTTTGTTTTGAAACCGAAGTCTACTTTATTATTACACAAAATAAATCTCATAGAAAACATCAGTTTTTAAAAATGTGAAAATTGTAATTAACTAATTGATAATAACTGAAAATTTCTTTTACTTCAATCATTTTCAGCAAAAAGTTATTTGGCCTATTGAAGTAAACATGTAAAATATGTTACCGTAACAAATCTGGATCAACTTGTAAAATTGTTATCTTTCAAGTAACATTAGTATGTAACAAATAAATAAATCAACTCGAATTGTAATAAACATATTATAGAAAGGCAATAAATCTCTTTTTAAAATTGTAGGATTGCAATTAATTTCAAGTGACAATTATTTTTAATACTCATTAAATAATATGTATTCTAATAATCTATTTGAATATGTTAACTTGTTATCGTAAAGAGAAATTTTTCTTTATATTTGATGATATTTATACTGCAAATGTATCAGATTTATATAGTTGTGTATTTGAAATTTGTATGAGGGCTATGTATCTAGATAACAAATAGTTGTTTATCTTGAAATAGTAATAAAACATTTGAATTTTGAAGTCAATGTCCATATTTCAGTATTTTAAATGCAAAGCAAATTATGCAAATAAATAAACAGAATAGTGTAGTATAGGATTTTGGTTAAAATCAGAGAAATAGTTATATGAGCACAACATCTGTTCGGCATTCAACTTCTAATATTTATATCTGAACAACTTGGATATATAATTCAAGAGAAATCAAAATTACACTTTGATGTACATATCTGAAATATGATGTTTATTTACAGTATAAATATCTGTAAATATATTAAAAATCTTTCTTTATAATGACCTATTGGCATATGCAAATAGATTAGTATTAGAAATACAATATTAAAATTAATTTTCACATCAATTAATGCTTCAATATCCTCAATGAACCAAATTGCCACAGTCAAAATCTAATTTATAGAACAAAGTATTCAACGATATGAATCAAACTTTTATTTTTGGCTCAATTCACTTCATAATTTGACTAATTATTCACCTCAAAAAGTATAACTTCGATTCTATCACCATGCTTATAGATCTGTGAATGTCACTCAAGATGAATAATGATGATCACTAACTAATTAATCAATAAAAAAAAGTTTAACAAAAAGAATAATCATTGTTTTGACTAAATTAGAGATCAAAAATCAATTGCCTTCGCACCGATGGCGAATGTATTAACCCTACATTTTATATATTAATATTAAAACATATATAAAAACATAGCAGGAGTACATTAAGATACATATTGATTCATTAATTCGGGATTTACAATAACTTATAAACCTTCATATGATTAAGAGATTTAATGATTCGAAACCATAAGTAAAGGAGTTATGTGTGAAATTGTGTAAAAAAATAAATGAGCCTTTGGTAATTGTGTTTTTATAATTGAAACCAACCATATTAAACAATGACAAAAAATAAAATAAGCTGATAAAGTCACACGATATAAAATTGGAAATAATCGTTCTTAACAATAAATAAAAAATAATATAAAACAAGATGCAATGTGCTTAAAATCAACTCAGTCATTTAGGTAAAACATTATTATTTTTCTTATTTAAAATGTTACATCCTTACCCAGAATCAAAAAATCTATCTATTTTGTATAATAATTATCTTAGAAATTCAGTGAATAAATTGAAATCGATCAGCAACAAAGAAATTAAATGTTCTGAATAATACTATTAATTATATTTAGTTCAACTATACCCAGAAACTTTTTAAAAAATGGATTCAATTTTATTATATTAGTGAATCAAGAATGTTGTTTTCTAATAAATCAATTACATCATTTAAGGCTCATTTACATTAAGATTTATTATTGATTAAATTTTTAAATATACTAGACCTGCCTTGCAATAATAGTAATAGTATCTAAATAAAAACTCTTATTAAAAATTACATCTTCGAATTATCAGTATAATATATAAACTATTCATATATATAAATCCATCATTAATATAAAATAAATAAACTCTCAAAATCATAAGAAGTAAAAAAAAGATCTGCACTGCTAAAATATTAATAATTATTAATTAAAAATTTGCTTATTCCACGGTTCCCATTTATAATGCCAAAATATACAAAGAATATTTTTCAAATATTGCAGAAATAGTATAAGTTTTGTTATTTTAACTGTCCTGGTTAATCATTTAATCTATTTTATTGTTATGTTTGTAAAAGAAGTATTATCGTCATGGGGATTTTGTCTAGGTGATACGGAACGATGCTTTATAATTGTATTGTCATAAGTGTTAGAATAAGAAATAGTGAACAATTTGTTTAAAATATATTTTATAGTTTAAGAGAATGAGTAAATTGATCTATAATGAATGTAAGTATTTCAATAATTTAAATCTCAAAGCTGTAAAAATTCTGTAATTTTAAATTTTTAAACAAAATTCGACTTCTAAGAAGAATTTTAACCAAATTGTTCGTAATACTTAATTCTTTAAAAGTTTGTTGATATGCCAAAATCTGTTTGGTGTACTCAATCTCAATGACTGATACAACAGACAATTGTAAATCGAATAACAAAACTATTTCAGAGCTTTCTTTCTCGATTAATCCACCAAACTAATTTTGGCCTTTGTTATATATCTATTATAATACATGAAAAATATCTTGGATGAGACAAGTTTAACCTGGCTCTTTGTTATGGATTTGCTTAATCGTCATATATTTTAAACTATATAACAGATTTTTATTTACCACATTAACAGTTATAAGAATATCATTGAAAATTTGTCGTTAGAAGCTGCCTTATATTGAAAAAATCACACTTTACTTATAATATGTCACCGATATTTTAAAAATAGAACCATGATGATATCCTAGGTTGGTTGAATGAAGTAAAAGATTTTGAGGGTAGAAAATCTAATTGTAAATTGTGGAATTTTGAGCAAAATCTCAACCAATGTAAAGAAATTTGTAATTTTATAAATTTGATTAATTCAAGATATTATAAATAATTTCCAGATGTTCTATTTATGGATAATTTACAAGAAATTGCACTAAAGCTTATGGACACTTTTCTAAATATGTTTTTAGTGTATATTAGGTATGGTTGTAGTGTAAATGAAGTTTTAAGTATTAATTCCATTGACTTTACTATCCACTAATTTATTGATCTATTTTATGGATGATGATAGTTTTTAATTTTTGCTTAATTTATTCACAATTTAGATGTTTTTATTTCCCTCAATTTGCATTGCACAATAGATCATTCAACCAAATAAGATGTCAATTCACAGATTACATATAGAAAAATACAATTATGTAGAAGTATACAACTTTTTATATATATGTATATGTAAAAAAAACTTACTTTTAATCACAAGCACGCGTTCGCATGGACGAAATTTAAATCCTAATATATATACGATTATAAATCAAATAAAATTTGAAAATAAATCACTTTCCGATTTACAGCACATTCATTCTTAGAACACACATGAAGATCCTTTTTAAGACTATTACTTTTTTTATTTAAAATAGTTTAATAATACGTATTAATAACTCTAATAATACTAAATACTATAGTATTTTTATATGCGTAGGCACTGACGGATTTTATATCCATGAAGAACTTTTTATTAAAATTCTTGTACGATTTTGTTAAAATGTCACTGTTTATTTAAACATAAACGATATTTGCAGATTTTAAAATAGATACAGTTGATTTTTGCAAAATTTGAAGAATATATTTTTTTGCACTTGAAAAACTGTTTGACAGGTAAACTGACGAAGTTGGGCCGAACGCACATCGAACACATGCAGTGCTGCCACAATAAAAAAAAACATGAAAAACCGCCTAATTCAAAAAGGAAATACAGTTATACTATCATTGAGATTTCTTTCATTGGACTGCATAATAGATTTCTACACACATTTTTGATAGAAATTCATAAAGCATTCCGAAATTATTGCAACACTACATGCTTTCAATTGAACATTTCAGACAAATCACATTTATATTCATAATAAAATATGGCAATGTGCATTCAGAACTTTGAATTTTAATATAAGTTTCACTTGCTTGCAGACAACAGTGACTTTAACTTGCAGCTAATCATAAATTAATATCTATTAACTGTGATTTTAGTCATTGAACTTAATATCCGATGTCTTCTCTATCACAAAAGTAAACTCAAGTTAATCTAACAATGAAACTCCAGCAACTTTTGCAGCTATCACTGATGATATATCGAAATTATTTACATCTACCGATATCGATAACATTAAATAATTTTTTTTCTAAAAAATATATTACTATATATAAAATCTCTTTCTCTTTATGTTACTTACAAATTTCATCAAAACCAAAGCAGCTAATCATCTATTTATATATGAATACTGAAATTTGGTTTAGAGTCCATTCTTATAACATTTTATTGCCAACTATTGGCAAATAATATGGCAGATAATTCAAAATCGACATTATCATAAATAAATAAACTGTCAAATCCTAATATATTCTTATAAGTACGAATGTTGTGCAAATATCAATTTTAAACTCTGCAAATCATTTTGTGCTAGTGACTCACTGTACCTCACCGAAGAGGATGTGTGATTTGTATCTTAAATATTTTTTTTTATATATAAATCTATATATAGAATCTCTTCTCTGTTTTAATTTGTAAGTATTTAATTTCATAAATTGCGTCTAGCTGCTCGCTAGTCTTTCACAAGTCTATAAATATGATGCTGTGCACCGTGTTCTGAAGTCGATACTTCAAAAACATATGCTGTGCACAGTAATGTTTCTTGTGTGTCTCGATTAGATACCACCTATAAATCAAATTATAAATTAATAAGTGTGTCTAAACTAGATACTATATAAATAATTTAAATAATTCAATATGTAAACTGTTAGATGTTTTGAAATATCAAGCCCATTATCCTACAACTTACCTGCAGTATCGTAAAGTTTTCGAGAACACTGTTCATCATATATTTCTCTGGCAAATGTTTCAGTCGATGGATAAAATTGATCATATACTCGCACATTGGTGAACGATGTATACGATATGCATAACGCCCATTTTCACACCTCGCATATTCAGTTTCAACTTTTTCAACCACTTGCTTGCCAAAGGAACAAACCTTTGTCGAACATGTTATCGTCATGTTTTCACCACTTTCATACCTGATGGAAATGATGTATAAGTTTTATTTAATAACTAAACATTTAAACTTGGCAAATAGATTGCTTCCAATTTGAAATTGTCATTAAACTATGAAATAATTCTGATATCATCTTTTTCAATTATTAAAATGTATTACTTACTGGCTAGTGACCCCATAAAATGCTCCAGCTTCATCTCGCACATCTGTATTGAGGTCTGCCCAAAATTTAACCAGGAAGAAGGCACTTTGAGGACCTTTGTCATAAAGCTCTTTCAGACCACCTTTCTTTTCAGGGAATTTATCATAGATTTGTCTAACATCCACAGCCTAGGAGAAAGATTTGTTTTAAATGAACATTTAAAATAACATAAACTATATTTTTTTTATCGATAATGCATTTAACAAGAAATATATGTAGTAAAATCGACTGCAATATTATCTTATATTTGTATAAATGACAAAGTCGTATTGCTAGAAAAAAGTTATGTTGTGTATGAATAAATGCATAATCACATATTCACATACTCACATATGTAAATAAATTTTGTATAAACTTTTTATAAAAATAATTTATAATCAATATAAATATCATTATTCCAATAAATAATGCATAAAAAGATCACTTATCTAATACTTGATATGAAGTAGAAGATCTATCTCTTCTGAACTTTCATATTATATTATATTATAAAAAACTTGAATTTATTATTATAACTGCGGCATATAATTTATGCAAATTTTACATATTATTCAACTAAATTATATAATTGACACGAATATTGAAATTAGCATATAATGAGACAAAAATTGATCTTGTCCTTATCCACTTACCTCTAAGAGTGGGTCTGAATATGTTGCTGAGCCTCCTATATGTACGAACAAATGTTTGTGATACTGAAAATAAATTAATATTTATTAAAAATTTATTAATTTATTTTACTTATTGACCTTATAATACAAAAGCAAGAAAACATAAAAAATATTATAATGAACTATAACTATGTAAAATATTATAATGAAATTATAGAAGCTAGAAAGCTTTCTCCAATGAATGTGCATTCTGACTATAAATTCTCAATTAAAAAATAACGTTAAATTAAATAATTTTAAACATAATTATTTTATTTTAGTAGAGGCATTTAGAATAAGTAATTAAATATTACATGTAAGAAACTATCATTCATATTCAATAATATTTTAGCTTATTTTATCGGCTGTATATTTCTGGCATTTGAATACATCCAAAGCAACACATTTAAATTTTGTGTATAATGCATGTGAACCAAGAAGTGATCATTGTAAATCATAATGAAAAACAAGAGAATTATTATTAATATAAGAAAGTTGTATTATTATTCAAATAGTATTTTAGTAAAGCTACATCTCCTCTGATACCCCCAATAAGATTTATACTTTAAATGGCGTTATAACTTCGTATCATATAATTGTTTTGTCATAACCAGCGTTTAATATGATAATGATAATCTGGAAAAATTAAGCAAAGACCTTTGCTACACTGTAATTATCCGATTTGAATGGTTCCAAATTGATCATGTGGCTTGAATTTCCGATGATTTAGTCTTGTCCCGTAAGAGTACTAAAATTAATCATCGATATCTAACCACATATTCATAAATCTATATATTGTATACAAAATAAACATCTTTGATATTTAAACATAGGAATATTTGTAGCGACTGGATAGGTGAGAATAACCTTACACAGCATTTTTGCAAGTTAAAATGTATTATCACTGTCCTATAATATAAAATTGATTTAATATTTATCTAATATAGATAAAACAACCATTAGGTTGCCTCTGAACAGCGACGTAGTTAAGAATAATTATCATCACAAATGTTTGTTATCCAATTTCGTGATTACTGTGCAACAACAATAAAAACATGATTTTTTAACATATCGAAGTTCTCAGATATCGGTTTGAAAATCAAAAACAGTCAATTTATCAATTAATATTTACCGTATCAGTATCTCTTTGCTGCTCCATAAACGCGGAAAATTCGACCAGTCTCAATCTGTGAGTCGCGATCGCTCTGCCTTCCCATGGCGGAACACTCGGTGGAGGGGCACCGCCTCCTGCACCAGCGACTGGTGAAGCGACAACGACGCCGCCGCCAGCTGTCGTCACGTCGCTCAGGCTACCTGCTGCAAAGAAATCGATGAATATTCATAATTGAAATATTACATAATAATTGATACATAAAATATCGATAAATTAATCTATTCTTGGGTGAATACATCTTAATACCAATCTGACAAATCGTTTCGAGGAAGCTAAGATCTTTTATACAGATAAGATATTAGTACACATATATTATTTAAATTAAATTGAAATAATATAATAAATAGAGTTGTTATTTTCATTATTTAATAAACTTACCGCCCACGGACGCTGCAGCCGCGTGCGCAGGTTGCGTCTGCTGCGAACCTGGTCCGCCGTACGCGCCTCCAGGTTGGGGAAATGGTTTAACACTGTAATACATAAATAGAAAGATCATAATTTTTTATTGTTTCAGTAAAATGTAGATGAATATAATACATTGCATAATTTAGTTCAAATTTTCACAATTTCCTTATTTTAATCTTTTACTATTTATTTAATATGAATAAAGGAAGGAGAAGAAGAAATTCGTCCTCTATTTCAAATTGAAGTATGCATATTCTCACATTTTTTTTTAAAATCAAATATTCATTTATATTAATTCAGATTTTTATGGTTTGTTGCTTGAATTCATTCTAAAACTGTTGCTGTTTATTCACAAAAATACAGGTAATGTCAAAAGTATAAATAATTTTATATAGTTGAATTCACTTACTCTTGCGATGTTCCCGGTTGTAGTCCAGGTTGCCAGAATTGCTGTAATAATATAAAAAGAGCATTTTAATAAAAATTTCAGGATTTATTATATTGATAGTATTTATAAATTTGTATGATCTCAAATTCTTGAATAACTATCTTTTAATGTTCTTTGGATCACAATCTTATATATATTATAAATATCACATTCCTAAATCTAATGCTCTTTTAAATTCATCTATAGAACTAATTTCTTCTAACTTTAAAATCAATAAATATGTTGATTATCATAACACATCAAAAAACTATCAAAAAAAAAAACAAATAATTTCTTTCTCTACACGTTATACTGTATTATCTTCATTTATACGTTATACTTTATTATTTTTATTATCTTATATTAATTAATACTTTTCCCATATTCATTTGTACGTTCTTTGTGTTATATTTAAGTATTAATAATTACTTAGTATTATGTCTTCATTATAATTATATTTTACGGGTACTAACTGTATTTCACTAAATATATTTTACTAACTTTGACATTAAGAAGAGTTTAATTAAAATCATAAATTAAACAAATATTCTTAATTTATACTTTTTTTTAAAACAAACACTAAAACAACTTATTTTTCGTCATCCTAACAGATGCCTTTAAAATAACAGCCTTTACATAATATTTTTTAATTTAGGTTATCAGATTATAAATTCATACTGACCACTTTAAGTTTGGCCTGCAGTTCTCTAAGTTTCCGCCTGGCTAGCACCTGAATATGTGAGCTGACTTGTTTCCTGGTCCTCGTTTTTCCTGTCCTAAGTTTTATATAGCGGGCTATCAATTCGTTGCGACCTGTTGACAATAAATGACATTTATAGTAACTAACATACAAATAATAAGAAATAAAACTAAGGGACTGATTCTCCCCAACAGGTCAATGTTATGGCAAGGCCATGTTACGCTCCAACTTGCATACATTATGTTACTAAATCATACTGAATACTGTCAAAATGTCATGTATTTGCTGTGCGGTCACTTGTATGTTAAAAAGCTGGGTCAGATAGACCCTGTTATCTAACATCTCTTTTTCACATTTGTGCGGTTTCTAGGTTTTTAAGTTTTTTTATCTGAGAACCTGAGAAAAACGCCTGCTTCCACAGCAACCACATGGCTTTTGACAATATTTAGAACGATTTTGTGTAGAAAGTTCTACATAATATAGCCTTGCCATAACATTGGTCTGTTATGCGGCAGAATCGGTCCCTAAATTATAGATCTGTACCAAATCTTCTAGAAAATTTAGCGAATTGATTGAAACTGTGTTTTTCTTTGGAAGTAAGTTTGTTAATAACTCCTGCCATTGCAGTTTGTTGTTGTTTCAATCTTGATATAATTAGATAGATATATTTATCCAAAACGAATAGATATATTTACAAAATCGTTTTTGTTTCGTACAAAAAGGAATAAGTCAATGTTGAGCTTTAATCAGAACACTGAACATTTTACAATGATTCCGAATAGATAAGCATATTACAAACTTTTGGTGCATTACATCCATAATTGATGTTATTGTAAAAAGAACTAGATAGGGTATATATTTTAGTACTTTTTTAATATATATATATATAACATAAATATTTCATATAAAAAGCATAGTTCAGAACGTATATGTCTATTATAATAGTAATGATCAACAGTGAAAAATCTAAGATGTCCAAAAGATGTCAAGTCAAATTATGAAACTCCATCTAGGCAAGTTGAAAAACCAATTTTGTTCTGATTATCAATTATCACAGTTGCAGCAAAAGATTAAAAAATGCTGTATTTTAGTTATAAATAATTAAAAGATCAGGGTAAAAATACAAACAAGAAACAAGAATTCTTCTGCATTAATCCTAACAAGACCAGAGTTATCTTTATGAGTATTAGCATAAAAGGCTTCTGATACAAATTCCACATTGAAACGAAAATGTTAAACAAAATGTTTAAGAGTTGGTTTCAATTTTATGATGCCAAGAGATGTTACTAATCTCAGATAAAAATTGGATTATACCTATTATTTGGTGGCAGACAAAATTGACAGTCTCCATTGGATCATCAGGACAAGTGTAATAAAAGTAATATTCATTTAAATTATGGGGGTCCTTAAACATTACAAATTTATTGAATCCATACGTTTCGGCCTATGTCAAGTCCATCATTCAAAAGATAGAAGAAATACTCTTGCACAAATATAAATACTACTGTTTCTTGCAGATTTCACCCATGCTTAAAATTGCTATATTTATTTAGTTTCTATATATAATTCACCATATGGTAGTTCTATATTGTAAAAAAAACATAAGCCTGGATATCTGTATATTATACAATAAAGCGAAATGTGATATATATATACATATATATATATATATGTTGTGTCTTTTATATATGTATGTATATAAGCGTCTATATTTCTCCGAATATTGGAATCTAGCTGGGTACAATAGAAAATCATATATTCCGGTAGCGTGTTAGTCCATCTCCTTCCCTCTCAGTCATTGTAATGCGCACGTGTGCTTTTGTCTCTGTCTCTAAACTTCGGAGTGGCCCAGTGTTAGTGACTAGCTTTTTGGTACAGGGTTGCAGAAATATAGATGTATATTGGTAAAATATTTTGTGGAGATCGCATCAACCCTTTTCTTATACTCTGCCAAATTAATTTACCCCTCTTTATTCTCTTGTTCATATATCAGTTTTTACTTATCAAACTTTTCTCAATTTTTTGCTTCCATGCTCCCTTTCCTGGTGCATCGACTTTTAATATATAGTATCATCTCTTCTCGCTTTGTTAGTAATTATCTACAATATTTTTTGTCTTCGTAACTGCAGTCCATCTATTTTTCATTCGATAACGTCGTGCAGGAGTACTCTATCTCCAATAAGAATAAGGATCTATAATAATATAACTTTGTTTCATCTCTTACTCTTCGAAGTACTCCATTTGTTACCATGTCGACCCATTTCATCACCACTTCTCAAAATTCTTCAAGTAGTTTTTACAGCCGATTTTTCTGATCTATACTCAAAATATATCGCATTATCAATTTTTTCGCAAGTCGAGGATAAGTTTTTACTTTTATCATCCTCGTGCACTATCTAATCTTAGTTATTATTCTATCCAAGTATTTCAAATGATGCACATCATCTAGTTCCTGATTTCCCAAATGATGTCTTCAGTTTTGCTTTTCCTTTTTGGACGATCGTGTCACTTTCAATTTGTTGGCATTGATCTCTATTCTGGATCATCTTCTCACTTAGACAATTCTGTTTATAACAACTTGTTAGAGTTCCTTACATTATCAGGAATTATTCTTAATTTTATTCATTTTGATATCATTTTGAAAACAGTTATGGAAATTTTTACAAATGTTTTGCCTCAAGACAGGTTAAGGTAAAATGCAACTCAGGGAGTTTTCGGTGTTAAACTTCTTCCTACATTAACGTAATGATGTTTTATCAATTAGAAGACCATTTCTACATGAAAAATAAATATCACTACTATTTGATATCAGATTTAACTACCCTATAGTGAAATTCATACCTTCCTTATAGAGTCTTTTAGATCAAAAGTATTAATTTTCGTTCGCCAAAATGTGGTGTGGGTTCTGATAATAAACGATCTATTCTGAAAGATCTTTATTTAACTTAAGCCTTTGCACTCGCAAATTCCGTTATTTATATGAATTTTGCCGCCGAAGCGCCGGCATCCAAGTAGAAATGGTTAAAACATATTCTTACTAAATTTGCTTTGGTGGATTAGAGAAATACAGTACCTATATTTAACTAGCATCAAATTTAAAATAAATGTTGCTTTTCATTCTAAGTGATATAAATATAATATAAAATTATTATTTTTTTATATTTAAATTATATAACTTTTTATACTTTTTAGTGATAATACTAATTAATATAGTAAATAATTTGTTTATTAATTAAATTAGTTTCGTGTGAGATGCAGTTGATTTAAAAATTGGTTAGATTTGCAATTCGATATGTTGAAATAAGATTTTTGTATCTTTACTCTGTTTTAGTTAATTAGTGTAGAATTTCATAGAAAGTATAAATAAAATGAACCAGTGTTCAATATTTCTTAAAACTGGAAGATCATACAAATTGTATAGTCGTCCAACTTCTTAAGACACAAGTTTGAAGAAGATTGTAAAAGAAGTTTCCAGAAGACACAATTAGCCTTATCTTCAGAAAAATGAGCAACTATTTGGAAAAATGTGACAACTATTAATACATTAAAAAGCACAATAATTTCATATGTCTGTTTATAAATGTGTGAGTGAATAAATTGACCCAAATAGCTCACAAGATATTGTTTTCTGATTGGTGTTGAAAGCAAAAAATAATAAACAAAATTATTATAGTTTTTAAAATAAAAACTTCTAACATTTGTCAAAAATTAATTATTAGTTTTGAAATCATATTTAACACACGTATTTTGTATATGACTTTGATAGCAAATGAGAAAGTCGTATTGGGGACATGAATCTAATATTTTATTTTTGCATGTCTTCTTAAAACAGTATACCAAACCAAAAATATGTGGCCTACGAGGCTAAACTCTCAAATTTTCAATATTCAATATACAATTAATAATTTCAAGACATTGCATTACTTGCATTAAATTATAAGGACTTATAATTAATCCGACAATTATAAACAATATGCTCACGAATAAAAATATTGGACAAAAAACGGTTTTGTAAATGAATCGCAGATGAAATATATAGAAAATTCTATTGTATTCTTCTATTGTTCAATATATCGCCCACAACTTATTTTATATTATTAAAACCAGTTTTTACCCTCAAGCACCAAAACATGTATTATTTCTAACCCTGTCCTTTCCTTTACGCACCCCATTCCCTGCCACCCACTAACACCGGCGCACATCGAAACGTATACACACAAAGTGGGGCGCACATAGCTCGTTCGTCCTCTAATTGCACATTCTTGGAATTCCACGAAAGGGGGTTCGCTCTGCAGTCCCCATTGTGCCCCCGCACCGCTAAGCAAGCGTGCGCCCGAACACCCTCCCGCCGCCCCAAAGGGGCAGGAAAAGATGGAAAGATGGGGATGGGAGCCTCCTCACGGACCAGTTGGAGTCGCCGTAGAGAGAACGGATATATACTGTTGGGTTAAGCTTTGTAGTGAATTCTTGGAGAAATATAAGTATGTGGAAAACTAGAATTTGTCAGGTGCGATTGGGAATGACACACTAAGGATTGGATTAAGTATTGATTGTTTGGAAAACAATTTATTTCATTTAGTTTAGTTTAAGAAAGCGTTTTAAGTGATCGTAAATATACATTCATTTATTTGCTGGGCTTGCTCGTAGGTAAATGGCTAGAACGACTGGACCTGAATCAGAAGTCCCGTTTCGAGCAGCCTGTTGTCAATCAGTAGTGACAACAGTTTTCACTTGGCAATATAGATAGCAATATGTTTCCAAGTGAAAATAGCCCTGAAAAAATAATTATGTGATAAATTAAACCTCCTAATACTACACTGTCTTAATCACATTTTTTATATAACAAAAAATATCCATTAAAATTAAAAATCGGTAGAACCTGCATAAAATTAAATTGATTATGTTTATTCAGTCATAGTTCAGCTTAAATATTCAATAAAAATGAGATGTAAGTCTTTGTATAATTGAATGAATTTACACATACAAATATTGTCTTTTTACTGACTCTTTTTGTGAAAAAATATATTCGCGTAATATAAAAGTAAATTAAGACAAATGCTGTTATTTGCTTTGTAAAATTTCACCTAAGTCCTACTGCAACACCGTTCAAAAG